GTGTGTGTGTGTGTGTGTGTGTGTGTGTGTGTGTGTGTGTGTCATAAAGCTTGAGTGAATAGCCCAATGTTTACCAGACCCCACCCCTACACACACATTCACACACCTAAAGTGCTTATGCAACACCCTGTGCACACCTCCTCACAGTGTTCATTACTTGGCTAAAATTGAAGGATTATGGTACACACTAAAAGCTGCTGGGTTATTTTGATAACAGAGCGACTGAGGTTCCTTAAATTCACCCTTTTATAGGGACTAATGCACATCCTCAAAGTCACGCAGTACTTTGCAATCGTCAAGTCCATGCCCACTTCTGGTTCATTAGATGTGTTTCCATTGCAAATGTGCGCAAAACTTTGTCGATATTCTGTTAATGTCGAAATGTTTCGCAACTGCGGTGTTTCCATTAAGTAAGAAATGCTTTTAAAGCCACGCGTGAATACGTTTGTTCTCACGATAAGTCATTACAAACATGGCGGCGATGGATGTAAACACATAGCATGTTGCTACCGCGACGCTAGCTCTCATCAGAGGAGACATCGGCGTCTTTTATCGAGGTTTTCCAGCGACAAGCTCCTACTTGGGAGCGGCTACGTGTGCTGTTTTTGGGAAATTATAGTCGGTGAGTTACTACTGTCTTTTACTACTTCTGTGATATTACTACTACTTACTTCCTGTTTTTTTTTCGTCGTCGTCTTTTTCGCCAGTAGAAACAGCCGGTTGTTGATCACGTGACTCCCGTGATGCGAAAAAAGTGTTTCCATTGCAGTTTTGCGAAAAACATCAATTTCGATATAGCCGAAAAACCACCTCATCCTAGCGCAAAAACATTTTGTCGAAAAATGTAATATTTTTCGAAATTGACATGTTTCCCTTGAGCAAATTTATTTTCGAAATTCTAATTTGCGCATTTTCATGGTCAATGGAAACACAGCTAGTGAAACAATTGTGTTGTGTGCTCTGCAGCAATTCCAACATCCGGCAACATTGCACATTGAGAACATTTTGCTATCACAATATAAAATGTCAATAAAACAAATTTATGGTCTTGTCTAAATATTAAAAGTCCACAGAATGCAGGTGTGAAGGACCAACATATTGGAGCTGCACTCTGACTTTGAATACCAGAAGTAGCTATATATGTGTTTGGACACATTTTACGAATCACATTAGCATCCGTAAAAAGGTCAATAACATTAGCTAGCTAGCTGGTGCTAGTTATAGTTGGCTCCAGTAAGCTAGCATGAGTTGTAATCACTTAACATTCCAGATTGATTTTTTTAACTAAACTTTTTAGTAGCTCTAATTCAACAAATTCGTCATTTTCACTAGGGTTGCACGATATGAATGAGTGAATGAATGATACTTTATTGATCCCATGAAGAAAAATTACAGAGATACTAGGAAAACCTGCAATGTGCGATAACCGTAATACTGCGATGACAACATTACTTAAATGAACAAATATGTAGTGTTGATGTCTTTTTCTGCTCTGTGTTCAGAGAAAAACAAAAACAAACAAAAAATAATAATTTCCATTCCAGCATGATTTTTTTATATATATAAAGAGATTCATCCAATTGGCCAAATATGGAAAGGGCTTAATTTGATTGGTGAAATACTTCAAGCGTCATTCTGAGTGACAAAAAACATAAATTCAATTTTTGACCCAAGCATTTTTTGCAGTTTATGCAGCTTTTTGCGATGTGTATATTGACCAGGCTGTTATCATAATAAATTTTCGATACATACCCTAATTTCTACCAAATCTTGGTGTAAAAAATAGGTCCGCACAAAAGACAAACTTATATGTAACACTTTAGTTAAAAAATGCAATGACAATATCATTTGCAATAATTTTCTTCACTTTTCTCTTTATCTCATCTATCATCTAAAAGGTGTGGGCACCACAACCAGCAAGAGTCTGTTGGATTGACAAACTATACTTTTAGCATGTAGAACAGGCTGCATGCTATTTGAAATATAATTGCCAATGATTTATTACAGTCTAAACAGTCCTTTGAGTTATTGATATTGCACTCACTGACCTTGCAAGACAATAAATCTGTGATACGCTGCACAGCTCTATTGGAAAACTTAACCAATTATGCTGGGTCAAATTGATCTAAATAATCCAGTGGTTAGTTAAAAAAATGCCCAGGGTTGGCTCAGTCCATATTTGACCCGTGCAACACTGGGTTACAAAGTGGGTTGTTTTAGACCCAGTAATTTTTAGTGTAAGAAAGCCTCAGATTATTGTGGGTCCACAGAATAACTCGGCATCTCACAAAAATCAAAGAGGCAAATCTGCTTGTGCATTCTCTTTGATATGTCACAGAGTGATGCAAATTCAAGTGCACATCCCATCACTGGCTAAGAATGGCTCTGGGTCCCTCAAACCCTCCAGGCAAGTTTTCATCACCCTACTGTTGTTGTGATTTAGCACCAGGCCACAGACAGACACCTATATGTTTGATTTCCTTTTTTTTATTATTATTTATGTAATTGGTATCCATCTCTCTGCCTTCTGATTTGGCTGAGAAAATACGGCCTGTCGTGTCTTGTGTTTAAAGTGTCAGGGCGAGGAGGGACTTTAATTTACACTCTTTTTCACCCAGTCAGCATATGATCAAATGCCTCTGTGGGAAAGCTGTTGCTCGGGGGTGTCGTTGCTCCCTGTCCGCTGCCAAGCAAAGCCAATAAAGTGCAAATGAATGGTTAAAACCATTATGGTGGAACTGAAAGCTTTCTCTTCAGGAGGCTTAAACCAAAACACAAGGACTTCTTTTTTTTTGGTCAAATTAGTGATTTATTTTTCTATTTTCTCCCAAAAGAAAATCAGCTTTAGTTTTAAAAATAGGTCACAAGATGCAGATTCTAACGTGAGGAAAGTAATTCTTTAGAGCATATTAAACTGTAAAAAAAGACGATGTGTAAAGTGAAAAAACTAAAAGATGGATGTCTGATTTGCATCAGGTGAGATCAAACACTAAGTCATAACCTCACAACAAGACGAGGCATTTCTAACCCCTTGAAAGAGAATGTGGAATTGATCCATCTTTGTGTTTGTATGGATGTTTGCAAAAGTGGGAAGGCTGCAGAGATTATTTGTGTGTGTGTGTGTGTGTGTGTGTGTGTGTGTGTGTGTGTGTGTGTGTGTGTGTGTGTGTGTGTGTG